TTGTGGCAAAGCCTCTCTCCAGTTTCCTTCACGAGGAAATCCAAACCCTCCTTGTCAAAGGAGCCGTAGTGTAGAGAGCGTTTCCTCATCCCAACATCACAGGGGATTCTACTCCCGGTATTTCATCATCCCGAAACGCTCAGGTCTTGTGCCTGAGTTGGAGTGGACCAAGGTTAGGGATCCTGCTCCCAACCTTTGATGGGATGCCGTTGGTGCCAGCACCGGAGGTTAGGAGCTTGGGAGTGCTCCTGGATGCCTCCTTAACGATGGAGGTCCAGGGAGCAGCCACTGCAAAGTCTGCCTTTTACCATCTACGGCAGATTAGACAGTTGGTTCCCTTCCTTGAACTCAATGACCTGGCAACAGTGATCTACGCAATGGTCACCTCGAGATTGGATTACTGCAATGCTCTCCACATGGGGCTGCCCTTGTCCCAGATCCGAAAGCTGCAGCTGGTGCAGAATGCAGCAGCGAGGCTGTTGCTGTGCCTTCCTGTGCGGGAACACATCCAGCCTGCCCTAAAAGTGCTGCACTGGCTGTCAATAGCATACTGGATTCGGTTCAAGGTGCTGTTTTTGACCTTTAAAGCCCTATATGGTCACATGTTTCCCAGAGGGCACTCAGATCTGGATCCCAACACTGTCTGGCCCTTGCGGGCCCTAAAGAAGCCAGGCTGGCTGCAACGAGGGCCAGGGCCTCTTCTGTGGCAGCCCCGCACTGGTGGAATGAGCTCCCGGAGGACATCAGGGCCCTGCAGGACCTTCTGCAGTTCTGCAGGGCCTGTAAAACGGAGCTCTTCCACCAGGCTTTTAATTAAGGGTAACATCGTGGCCCTGGCCCTAACATCAGCACCGAAGTAACACCAGCTTTAAAGTAATACCTGATAGCCTGGCAAGGAACCTGGAATAGGGCGATCGTTCTATCTGGATGCCGAAAGAAGGCCGCCATTGTTTAGCTGTACTGCTAGCACTTTGCATTTTGTTGTGGTTTAAACTGTTTTATCTGTTTTAATATTTGTAGAATGCGGGGAGGGCGGGATATAAATCAATCAATCAAATAAATAAGTAAATAATGGATTTTCAGCAACTCCACTACTACCTTCCCTACAAAAAATTCCAGATGATTCCCCTCCAAGCTATCCTTCCCCTGCTTCCCAAAAATGCCTTGTTGGCATCGCTCGACCTGCAGGACGCCTGTTTTCACATCACCATCCAACGGCAACATCGTTGTTTCCCGAGATTCACAGTAGGGTCCAACCCCTACCCATGCTGGGCACTTCCCTTCGGTCTCTCAGCGGCACCGAGGGCTCCCCCAAAGGATATGGCGGTGGCTGCTGCGATCCTCTGACAGCACACAGGGTCACAGTTTTCCCCTACATCGACGGCTGACTGCTTGTCTCCCAACTCCCTGCATCAGCTTCATCGTGATACGTCCACCACCCTCCCAACTCCTGGCCTCCGTGGGCAACTGCGTAAATCTCACCAAGTCTCATCTGGCCCCTGCTCAGGACTTGCAGTTTATAGGGGTACGAATGTGCACTCTTCAACAGCGGGCCTTTCTTCCAGTGGGCAGAGCCTCCGCTCTTCGCTCTCATGTCCTCCCCTACGCCACCAGCTCTGGTTCTGCAGTGCCTCCTGGGGATGATGGCTGTGGCCACCACCATAAATACTGTTTCCCAGACTCCACATGTGGCCCCTTCAGCTGTGGTTTGTCCGTGCCTTCAGACCCATTCACCAACATCAGTTGACCCTCCTTACGGTCCCTCCCAATATCCTCCTGACTCTTCACTGGTGGACCCTAGAGGAGAATTTGCTGGCTGGGGGATGCCTTTTCAGCTTCCTCCCCCGAGTGCTGTCCTCACCACCGATGCCTCCCTGTGGGATTGGGGAGCCCACTGCGGGACGCTCAGAGCCCAAGGCCAGTGGTCCAGGGCGGAACCTGACCCCGACACATCAATTGCTTGGAGCTCGTGGCGGTTCATCACGCCCTCCTACCTTCCCTGCGAGGCCTCCATGTCGAAATCACCTCGGACAGCATGGCAACGGTCTACTATTTCAACAAGCAGTATCTGTGAAACTCTGCAAAAGGGCCCTAGTCTTGTGGCACTGGTGTTGAACTCAGGGTATACATCTCACAGGCGAACCCCTTCAGTCGGACACAGTCCAATGGACACAAGTGGTCATTAAATCCCATCTATCTGTAACCCATCTTCCGCAATTTCAGGTGCCCCGAGATAGATGTTTTTGCCTCTTAGGACAATGCAAAATGTCTGATTTTCTACAGTCAAAGTCCTCTGCCGGGGTCCTAATTGGGGGGGGGGGGGATGCTTTTCTGCAT